CGCCCCCTATGGGCCGGCCGCCACTGTCAGACATGCTGCTCTGATGACCCTCCTGTTTGCTGCAGACAAACTGATGCTGTTTGCTCTCTGCTGACCTCCATCAGATGGAAGACTTTACTTTCGACCCGTTTCAAACCACCTGCTTATGTGTGGTTCACCTCAACACCAGATATTTTATCAATGTCTATTAAATATAACCAAACATATAGAGTTGTTTATCCTGTCTTTGTTCATTGTGCCTTAAGCTGACAATTACAATTTAATATAATATATTGAAAATTTGGTTGAATCTTTTGTTTCTTATGTCTTCGGCATCATCATCATTAATAAGCTGTACAGATTTTACTCTAAGAATTTTTCCATAATTAAATAATAACCCTGAGATTATAGTCCCTAAAACTACAAGGTTAAGATGCAAAATCTATTCATAACAGGCTTGTTTACTCCCCAAGGTTTTCTGGTTTTATATAAAAACCCAAGCAAAGCTAAAAAAACGTCCTCTTTTTCACATGAGGAGAAGATGTCTGTGTTGCTAAAATAAATCAAATAAAAGCTTAATTATATTTTAGGGAACTGTGATTGCCCTTTCTTAGAATACCTGGACACAAGACGTGGGTCCACAGGGACAGATGAAGTAAACTCCACTGGATAGCTCACGGTTCTGTTTAAAGATATCACTGCAGTCCATAGGAAAGAGATAAGCTGTGCAGCTGTTCAGCTGAGGGACCAGGAGGAGAAGAGCGGACAACAACTGCAGCAGAGGAAGAGATTACATCTTAGTTTCACAGTTTTTACTCAAGATTTCTTTCTGAAAACCAGAGAAGGAACCTAAAAGAGTTACATTTCAGAAAGGATGCCCCATGTATCTGTAGAATGCTTAAGATAAGCTTACTGAAACTCTTAGGATCAAAACTGCTGAAGATTCAGACTTTACAATCCTGTCCTTACCTTCATGATGAAAGTTGTGCTGCAGGGATGCAATCTGTGATGTCTGTCAGCTGGAGGTCTTAAGAGATCTTCTGTTGGGATCTGATCACAGTTTCATGCTTTTATACCCCAACACCCTGAGAGGCTGCAGCTTCACCTCGATAACACTTTTGACTGAATAAGTAAAAAAAAAAAAAAAAAAGTCTGCCGTTGAGAAAATCAAACTGATTGTAATTGCAGTCCAACCGCATGCACACAGACAGTTTGTACTTAAGGGCCTTTGTGGTGAATGAGAAATGCTCACCGAAATGTTATCTTATCAAAGAAAAATGCAAGCTGAGAGCAAGAAGATTAAAGCTGTGCATCAGTAAAATATAAGTCGACTGTCTACTGCTGAACAATCAAATGCTCTGCAATTGGTTAGCAAACAGGTGAGCGGAAAAAAAAAATGTCTCCCCGGCAGATATTAACAGCGACTGTTTTTTAAAGCAAAAAAGCTGGTGTTTCTGTAACCATCAAATAGGGATTATTCATAACATAGGTTTAAATAGTTAATTTACTGAAAGATCAACAGCAATATATGCATATCCTTAAAGAGAACATCTACACCAATGGTAAATGGTGAAACCGTTAACCAATTATTTATCATTTAAATATCTACAATTACATGGTTCACTGAATAATTATTATAAAGAGGGAATATTTTAGATATAAAAAATAAATAGGAGGAATTACTTGATAGTTATTTTAGACTGTACAGCTATAACAGTTATACTGTTATATATTTGTGAACTAAATATTATGGATTTTAGTTCTGATATATATTTGTTTTATTATACTATATGTTTTACTACATTACTATAGTCATTATTGCTTATATTTTAATTATTATCTTTATTATATGTTGTTCATTTCCATTTCCAAGTTGCGCAAGCTATCCGTTCACTGGAAAAACGATCAAGAATTAAGTAAACATTTTCTTAAATTAAGTGTAATTCCCCTTAATTTGACCAGGTAAATGAGATAGTTTGTCAATGGAATGAGTATTTTTACTCTCAAACTAATATAATTAGATTATATGCACTTGAAATAAGACAATGCAATTGTGTTTTCTTATTTTAAGTGTAAATTGTCTTGTTCCATTGGCAAAATTTCTCTTTTACCTCCCCAATCCAAGAACAAATACACTTATTTAAAAAAAAAAATGACTTATCTAGATTTAGATTTTTTCCATTGTTATGATCACATTAATTTGGACTGAACACCAAATGTTTCTCCGCTGCTTTAAACTAATAAAACTAAGGGTGTTATAAGGACAAAATGAACTACTCCTGTCTTTTCCCTTTCTCACACCCCAGCTGTCGTTTGTTGAAGAATATAAGCATTGCTGATAAAGCTGCAGCCAATTTTTCTCAAAAATGTGGGAATTTAGTTCTTTAAGTGTTTCTAAAATCAGCTTAACATTTGAGCTGTGAAAACCAGAGGCAGTTTCTAAATGCAGTGCTTAGTAATCAGATTATTATCATTAGCACAGAAACTAAGTAGCAGTGGGTATTGTGAAATCAACCACCTATTGACTGTAATCTTTAGCACACATTCTGTAGAGTGGCAACTTCTCATTTTAGACCAGGGCTGATGAGAAACCTCCTATATTTCAAGTTGGGCTTTAAGTAAAGTTTAGGATAGTTTGTTTTTTAACTTGGAAGTTCCAAGCATAGAAGGAAAGCAACATTACTCACATATATTTAAAATTAATGTAAATACACTGATAGTCATATGTTTCTTATGCTATAACAATTAAAGAAAAAAAATTAAACAGTCAAACAGGGACAAAGTGAGAGTAATCAAGCCTTTGATACGATAGGCTAGAGATGGTAGAAAAAGAAAAGAGGTACACACTGTAAAAAGAAGGTGTATGTGAAAAACCTAAATTGTTTTACATGCATTAGTGGAACGGTATCCTCTTTGAGTTTGAGAAATTCGTCAGAATATTTAGAGGTTCACTTTCTGATGTATAACATTAATCCATTCTTTCAACATAAACTGGCTTCTTTTAATTCATGAGACCAGATAATGTGATTATTTCAAACTCTACTTTGTGTTCTAAAAACATTCATCTTGAATAATACATTAAGCCAGAGACATCTCAGCTGTACTGCTAGTGTCATTTTAAGGCTCTTATATGAAGACAAGATGCTATTAGTATTAAATAGATGGGCTATGTTGTATCCATACATATTATAGTTAAAAGAAATCTTGGGCGGTTGTAGACAGGGGCCAAGAAGGTCCAGGGCCCCTGGAGAACTGGTCCCCTGTACTGAAAACATACATTTCAAAGCAGGCTTGGAATGGGAACGATTTTCGGCCCTGGCATTTTTCTAACTACACCGGCCCACTTATGGAAACGTGTGCGTCTCAAATGTGAAACACAATACAAATACACATTGTGGTTTAACCCATCTATCTTCAAGCATCACATGCCAACCATCACCAAGACTTCTATAGTGCGGTTTTACAGTGTATGCTGCTGCGTAACGTCCACACTTGCATCCTAAACTGCCAGTTTGGGAAACATCCCAACCTGGCAACAATGCATGTAAGACGGGAAACGTTAGCCTTTAGATGCAAAACCCCATCATGCACCGCAACATATTTTTGCAAAATATTCAAACATAAATTTGCTAAATATAAGAGGAACATCATAGTTTTGTTTAAAGAAAGCATTTTAGCTTTATCATAATTTAGTTTGTTGCAAGGATTTTACAGTTTGAAGAAATAGAAAATGACACCATATGCCAACCGTTACAAGGATGCATGACAAGTAAGGGCTATATATACTGCATGCATCATGTAGGTAGTTAACATTGTATTACTTCTTAACCTCTTTGAGTTATTTACTGTCACAGGTAGGAGCTTCAGCTTCAGAGTAAGTGTTGGGGCCTCCAGCCCTCGCACACCCCACAGGCAAATGCCTGGTACCACAGAGTACCAGTCCGAGCCTGCTACAAAGTGTAAAAAATAATTAAGTACACTTTTCTTGACATGACTATATTTCCCTTGATTTGCAGGTACGTTTGGGATCACAGTTGTTATCTATTAGATCAGGACTCTGCAACCTTGGCTTTTTGGCACACATAGAGGAGGATTTTTGCGAAGTTTTAAAAAGACTTGTCCTCTCCACTTTAAAAAAAATAAATGACACGGGCACATGCACAACCCTGTACCCGCTGCCAAGAGGGAACGCCTATTAAATGTGTGCGAGAGCATGCACGAGCACATTTCTCCTCGTGCACGCTCTGTTTAGAAGTTGCTGTTTGCATCGCTCATACAAGCTTACTTTCCAAAAGAAGATTTGCAATTTTCCATTTTGTCAGACTCACCACCAGTAAGTGGAAATTGGGTTGAGCACGTAGGACAGCCTTAACATATAGCTAGAATGATTGACAATTAGGAGGACCACTTATTTCGATGACCCACCCAGAAAAAGAACATTATTGATATAATGATGTGCTCTAGCCATGTTTTTCTATTCTCTCTGTCTATCTATCTATCTATCTATCTATCTATCTATCTATCTATCTATCTATCTATCTATCTATCTATCTATCTATCTATCTATCTATCTATCTATCATCATCATCATCATCATCATCATCATCATCATCATCATCATCATCATCATTTTTTTTACGATTTAATACAAATATACCAGTTGTTCTGCCATGCATTTTCTTAAGGAAATTGTACAAATAAAAACAAATCTGAGTTATTAGTTTTGTTGTTTTTGATAAAATGCATCCAACATTATTATTATAATAAATAAATGTAAATTTGAAAAAGTAAAGGTTTTTTTTTTTCGTTTTTTAGACAGCAGCTTATTCTAATTAAAGGGAGGGATATTATATCACTGAAGCTTTATGAATAACGTCTCTGCAGAATATAATGACAAAAGCTGAACTCAAACTTAAGCCCGTTTCAGATCTTAACCAATCAACGTTCAGCTCGCGCACCCCTCGACCAATGGCTGATCAGAGAAGGCTGGAGAGAAAGAGTTTGGGGGGCGGTACCGGGCAGAGAAAGGAAAGTATGGATCAGAATGCTGCTGCAGAGGAGCGTTGAGTGCCGCAGGCTCCAACTTACCGAGTTTGTTTTTATAACTTGATAAAGACACCGTACTGTTACTTTGAGTTTAAAGATAGCTTACTATTTTGTATGTAGTTTAGTTTTATAAAGTGAGCCAGCTCGTATATGTTGGTTTGATTGTATTGAATGGTTATCCTGTATAAGTTATCAATACCTTCATGGCGTTGATAGCGAGTGAGTTAAACGGAACCGCGGTGATTTACGGGAGAGTTGGCTCAAGAAGAGACGTGGTTCACGTCCCTGTGGACGGCTATTTAACGAATAAAATGCAACCTAAGGAGGCGGAGTACACCACAGAGGGCTTACCGAAAGCCTTCCTGCACAGCCTGAGAACTCTTTTTGACATTTTAGACGACGACAGGCGGGGATATGTCCACATCTCGGAGATAGAGAGCCGTTGGCAGGGCGCGGATACTAGGGAGCTTCCCGGTGGAGCGCTGAGCTGCCTGAGGAGGGTCACCCCTCCGCATGGCTGCCTCACCTTTGAGCGCTTCGTGGCCGGGCTGCGACACTCCATGCTGAACCCTGAGAATAATTCCCACTTTAAGGCTCAGCAAGGTCAGAGGTATCCCCAGAAGACATGCAGTGTGGGACCCCGACTGGAGAACAAAGTCCGTCCGCTGGGCAACCTGACGAACACCCAGCGGGCGTCCTCCCTGCAGAGCCGAAACCGCCCGGAGGAGTCCGCTCGGTACGGCGCGGGCTTCCAGAGGTCCGGGCGGAGTTTGGAGCGGGTTCCCATCGCTCCGGAGGACGGGTGTTACCCCGCCGACCCGGGCCATGCTCCCAAACCCACACAGCCGCAGCAGAGCAGGCTCAGGAACATCGACTCACTGGCGCTGGAGTCTCCACAGATCCACGAAGCATGTAAGTGGATAAAAATCAGGTTTGTTCATCTTCTAAACTCAGTGGACGATTAACTTTGTGTTTAAGACATGACACCTTAGAGAAACGTTATAAAAATACTCTAACAATGTAAATAGACAGTTCACCCCATCGCACACTTATATCCTAACTCTGCACTAATATTTTGTCTGTTTCATATCTTTGATTTCACACAGTAAGCAAACTATTTTATACATTCAAAGTTTTCTATTTAAGGAAAAGCAGTTGATTGCATCATTCATTGACTGGGATGCAATCCCTCACACTAAGGATGCTTGTAGTGACAGTGGAGAGGAAAAACTCTCTTTTAACAGGAAGAAACCTCCAGCAGAACCAGGCTCAGTGTGAATGGCCATCTGCCAAGGCCGACTGGGGTTCAAGGAGACAGAAGCAGAGATACAAAAAGCAGCGGTAAAAGGCGGCCCCTTCCAGGAAACACCCAGCCAGGCAGACGAACTCCGAGCCAACTCTCATGTCAGAGGATGAAGAGAGCACATCCAGCCAGTCACAGTCAGAGAAACAGGACTACACTGAAAAACAGGCCGATCTCCAACATTTATAAACAAAGCTGTTGATGGCAGCAGCCCATCTGATATTTCTCTCCAGGGTGGAGTCACAGCCAAACAGGAACAGACGAGGCGAAGCTACTATGAGAAAAAACAGAGAGCATAACGTTAGAGATTGAACTAACATATTCTGCAGAGTGGAAGAATAGATTACATATGGGATTCATAATATTGCATATCAGTTTATTTTTCTATTCAGCCCTCTGTTAGAAATACTCTTGTTTTTTTTTTTCAACAACTCCTGGGGGATTGACTATAAACAAAGATGAGGTTAAGGAGTTTCCCCTGTGCAGCCTGACCATCACCCAGGCTTTTTTACACCTTTGTTGCAAATGCAGGTCAAATAACCTGAGAAATGTCCACATCTCTTGCTCAATCCTTATCTTTGTTTCTGGTTTTATATCTCCTTAACAAATCTGCACACCATTTCCTTCATGATATCTCTCATAGCTTGTCTCGTCTTTGTGCTCTCAGGCCTGTCCAGAGCTGTATTAATAGATAGCCGCTCACTCTCTCTGTCCAACCCTCAGGGCTTTTACAGCTTAAACCCTTACTACAAAGGACAGTGTTGGTTTTCATTCAGAAAGATGGATTGATATGATAAGATTGCAAACTTTGCCCTATTCACTCAGTTCAACTTTTTAAAGTATTTTACAATGACATGCAGCTTCTAAATCACAACATTTTCTTCCAGTAGTCTTATTTGTCATATAAAGCATCAAGGGATGCACCAATCATGACTTGTTGGCTGTTAAAATTTTCTTTCTTTTTTTAACTATAACCTACTTTACCAGTTTTTAATTTATTTGGATCTGTGCAAGCATATTTTCTCAACCTTTATTTATTTTTTATGCAGCTGCAAAATTGAGGTAACTGCCTATGCTTGAGGCTAAAAATACTTTGAATTCCCAGTTTTATTCTGAGTTTTGAATACTCGGCTTGCTGATAACTGATCTGATATGAGGAAGAACAAGCTTATTCCAATATCTGAGTAATTAATTGAGCATATCTATGTAATTACATTTTAACAAGCCAGCTTTGTCTGATCTAATCTTGTCATTTTTTTCTTCTGAAATATATTTGGCATGCTTAGGTTAGACATAAACAAATCCTTGTTTTAGTAAGCCAGTGTTTGTATTTTGAGTTAAGCATCTGAGATTATGTTTAGGGAAATGTTCCAACTGTAGGCAACCGTTAGTATCTTTTTACTGCATCTCTCTCTGACGTGAACATACGTTGACTTTAACCGGGCTTAATTATTACCCCTAATTAATGTCATAGCTCTCTAATATTTGTTGCAATGCTGCAAATGAATCCCTTAACAGACTTTGCACAGTGCTGCATGTCAAATATGCATTGCCAAATTACAGACTGAGCCCCATAGACACCAGTGATTGTGATCTAATCTCTCGCGTGCGGCCAAAGCCTGATGATTTAGTCCAGATTACAGCAAACAGAGCAGAGCTCAGTGATTTGCTGCTGCAGTAAAATCCTCCCCGAATTCCTAACATTCACCTCCATTTTTTTCTCCACGCTTTAGTGTTAGAAAGAGAAAAGTGCATAGAAGCTCATCATTGAAATCTTTATATCCGATAGCAATAAAGTACCTCTCAGAAAAAATATGTGGATGAGTTAGAAAACTTTACATGCTTGATTGCAGAAGAAGATGAAGGTTTTGGTTCTGAACCAAATGAAGAAGCAAAGACAAACCCCAGAGTTCAGCTGCAGGTGCTTCACATATCTTTATCTTCTTCCTTGGGCTTCTCTCAGTGAATAGATTTAACTAGAATTAAGATTGAATTAACTCTTTTTATGCCTTAGTGGACACAAATGTAAAAGAGACTCCCCCTCCTATTGATTGAAGCTCATGGGTTAGAGCTCCCCCTTGTGGTATAAAGTGGCAAGAAGAAAACACAAAACAACATTTCTGCACAATTTCATGCTTGTATTTGATCATATGGGATTGTAGGAGCATAATCTCACTAAGATAAAGTGTTATGTTTCTCCAGTTCGTGAAAATATGTTAATGTTTGGAAGCCTAACACATTCCTCTAAATAATTAGTTTATTAGAATTGGTTTATAATAAATCATATGTTTCAATAAATCCAGATTTTTCTCCCTCCTGTCTGTCTGTATGATACTCCCAACATTTCCTGGTCACTGTCATTTGTGTGATTTGTGGGCATCTAGTGAGTTGGGAATCCACCCGACAGACAGAAACTATTACTAATTTCACACAATCATTCTATAATTGACTTTTGTGATGTTGATCAACTATTAATCAAGAAATTAAAACAGTTAATGAGAAGACAGTTGTTTTTTTTCTATTGTCACCTCGTTTACATTCAGCAAATAGTGAGAACCGTCCAAGGCTTCTGTGTTGTGCTAAACGTTGCTTTTTCTCTCATTTTGTCAAGGTGTGATGAAATCAGGTTTGCCAAGATCGCAGAGTGAATCAGCTACAGGATTAACTGGTGGGTCCAGGCGACATGGGCGGAGCCGGGAAGAGCATAGGAGGCATACCATTACCAATGGAGTGGATTATGGAATGGTTGGTGCACACCCTCATTTTTGCTGATTTTGCTGTTAAGTCTCTGCTTTCACATCTGTAAGTGGTGAGAAACTAACTTAGCCTCAAACCATTTAGCACAACAAGAGCTTCTTCAAATTTTGGTCATCATTATAATTTCTGCCTTAATTATATTTATATTTTTTTATTTTTTGTGCTGCTAAATGAAATCTCATCACTGTAATTAAAAGAGTTCTTAAAAATCCTGTAGAGAAAATAGGTTTGATGGTTGAAAACCGATTTAATGACATCACTAAAAATAGATAATACACTGTTTCTGTAGTTTGAGCAGCCAATCATTATAGCTCAGACAAGCTAATACTATATGGGAGAAAAAATCTAATAGTTTGATTGTGTTAAGTTATGTTATTTAAAGAGGAACAAAAATAGGATGGTGACGTTTTTGATATGGCTAATTATTCAAAATCTGTTTTCTTTTATGTTAAAATAAATTTGTCTGGTAGTTCTGGATTAAGAATGTTGGTGTTTTGTGTTTTGGCCTGCAGACTCTGATTTAGATCAGCAGCAAATATCTTAGTCTGTAACATGTAAAAGAACCACAGATAGCAGTTTGGAAGCCAAAAAAAAACCTCTCAGATTATTCAGAAACTGATTAATGCACTTAAAAAGTGTATCAGATGCTGCTAGATGATTCATTAATGAATTAGGTGGAAGAAATAGGGTTTTTTCAGTAGATGAGCTGCCTGAGATCATAGATCTGAGGCGATAAGGGGGAAATTATGCTTTCTGAGGATTTTGAACAAAGTGGTTGGTGCTGTTTCTATGAAATTGGTTTTAACCAAAGTAAGAGTATTAAGAAAATATGGACAACTTTTGATATGTACTAGATAAAAAGAAAACATATCCATCTATTTAAAACTAATTCTAAGCTAAATGATCCAAGTGTTTGCCTCAAATTTCCTCTTTTATTTAGAAAAATGTGTGTGCTGAAACCAAATTTTAAAATATTTAGTTTATATGAACCAGAGTTGACCGAGTGCAAATGAAGAGAGGTCCCAGTGTAGCCTTTAGCGCTTCCTATTGGCCCATGGATTCTCCTCCCATCCCTCTATCCCCTGCCTGTCCCCTCACTCTGCCCCTCCCACCATCCAGCTGAGCTCAGGCCTCCTCTCTCTCTTTTTGCTCCCCCCTTGCTTCATAATTTCTCACCCTTTCCTGCTCACCTCTTCTCTTTCTTTCTTCCTGTGTTTGTGTCGCCGTCTCCGTCTCTCTTCTCCCTTTGGCCACTTTTGTCTAGATAGAGGCTGACTGATCAACTCCCCCCTCTTCTCCCTCCACCCCTGCCCCCTTCTCCACCCCCTTCCCCTTACCTCCACCCCTCCTTCCCAGGCCTTCTTGGCCCGCCACTGCCCTGATGGTAGTGAACCGGGTCGGGCCAGGGGGCCTGGTAGAAGTAGAGGATTCGCTCGGGTCGCCTGGACCAGCCTGGACTGCTGTGTGGGCCGCCTACACTACAGTCTTCATCCCCCTCAGCAATAGCCTTTATAGCAGCAAGGCTCTGCAGTTTTTCCTCTGGGTGAGTAGGTTGGGGGTGCTTGGAGAAGGTTGATGGATCTTAAGCTTGTTTTTGTGGAGCTTATCGGTATTTTTGTTGGTGCGTTATGACAGTAGATAAAGAAACTTGTTGGGATCATATTAAGATGATAGTGTTTTTGTTGGACAAGATATTTAAGATAATTTATCTGCAGTTACTCTGGAGACTTTTTGCTCAAAGTTATTCTATAAATTCTTTAGAAATACGTATTTAACAAGGCAATTTGTTCAATATGATTACACTTTTTTATTTTTAGAAAAGTTTTGTTTAGAAACTCCGGCTGTACAGTTCAGGTGTAGAGCTGCTGTGCTTTGTGTGGCGTCGAGGCCAATCAGCGTTTGCGGTTTGGTGGGATGTTATTCTTCATGCTTTGTTGACTGTGCTTGTGTTTGCTCAGTCACTTGGATGACAGCAGGAGCATCAACTGCTTTCAAACCCTTTCATCCCTTCCCTGAGCTTCTTCATCTGTTTCCCTGCTTGTGGCCCAGAGCAGATCTGGGTTTGGGTCGTGTTTCATTCAACTCAGGGGCCCCCCGACTCCATCTCATTCTTTTTCTATAAACAACTCCTCTAGAGCTAAAAGCGGTTTCATAGTTTTATTTATGCTCAGAGTCAGGCCGTCTTTGTTGCGTTTTTTTTTTTGCAAAAGAGTGATTGTTATTGGAATGTAGTGAGCAGCTCTGAGAGGACTGAAAGTAGACCCACCAGTGGCTGAATGCCAGCTATGAGGCCTGGACAGCAGCAGCATGCTGCATGGACAGCCTGGTCAGCACAACTCAATGCAGCCTTGATTTGCTGCAAACTCACACAAACATGTGCATTTCCCCTCCGTTCTCTTTAAAAGGCCCACACTAGGGTGGCCATAGTTGAAGTGGACCCACCGTCCTCCCTATTCTCAGGTTGCTGTGGGGTTGCCATGACGTTGGACTGATTTTTCCTCTCTAAAACATTGCACAGGATGGGAGAGAGTTTAGTACAATTGATGTGGCGCCATTGTTCTGTCCAGCACAAAAGAGCGTGTTGTAGGTACCGGGGTGAAAAGATGGAAGCTTGTCTGCCATAAAACTGCTGGCGGACTCAAATCTGTGATTGGCTTTATTCTTGGCAATGGTTCTCAATGAGGGTTGCAGATAAACAAGAAGCGGCACCCAGAAGATAGTCTCATGGGTTGGTTAAATTCTTCTATAGATGTGTTTTAAGCACATCAAAAACAAACTTCTCTCTTTAATGACAACACAGACAATGAAGAAATCAGACAAGATTTCAGAGCGATCCTCAATGTCATTTCCAGACGCCTGAAGGTTAAATCCTCCTCTAGTCAACATTTATATGCAGGCGTAAAGGCAACAGAAAAAGTGAGACTACCATAGCTTTTAGGGAAGAAGGTTAAATAATTTTTTTAGGTGGAAAATGCTGCTGAAACTGAAGGTAGAGTCCATATTCAACAATTAAATGACATGGGCTGAAAGGCCGCTCAGCGTTGAAGAAGCCATTTCTCTAAACCCCTAGGGGATCCACGGAGGTAATGCATGGGGGTCGCAAAATTTTTGATTGATTAGACTTTTTTTTTATATTCTCCCCTACAATTTTTCAACTAATTGAAATGTCTTTAACATGAATTCAACACACTCTAGTAAACAGATAAATGGAGGCCGAAGACGTCTTTCATTCATCAATGCACACATTCAGAGACATACAGGAGCTCTTTCAAGCTGGGCACCGTTTCATTCACAACACCTGTCCCATCAACTATGAATCCGAATTAGAAATATTTAATAATCCCAGGGAGAAATTACTTTCGTTACATGACTCCATCTGTAATAGAGTCACTATAGGACCAGTCTAAAATAACAGAATTTCATACAATATATATATGATTAGGGGGTCCCTGCTCCATCTCACCATCAATTTGGGGTCCTTGCCTGAAAAACGTTGAAGACCCCTGCTGACTATATGCATCTTATAGAAGATCAATTGCAGTTTCAAATGCTCCCGTGGATACTGATTTTTTCCTCTTGTCTGGTAAAAGCTAAATGAATGTGTTTAGCCCTAATAATTATTGCTTTTTAAGGAGAAAGGGGTGGATTGCAGGCTTGAAAGCCTTGGAAGTACAGAGGTGGCAGATTCATGATCCGGGGGTATTGTTTACTTCACAATTTTGGAGGGCATAAAGAGAGGACATTGAATTATGATGGTTTAGTCTTGAGGAAATAGGACAATTTTCCAGAAAGCTATTGTGAAAAAGTAATAGAAGGAAACCCAAAATGTTTGATCCTGGTTATATTGTGAGAAAAACAGACACAATATGGTTTAACTGTGTAAAATTTTAAATGATTCTGCTAATGCATCTATAACAGTAAACATTTGGTCTGATTTTCTGTTAGTGTGATAAAGTGTATAAACACTGTAAGTATGCAGTTTCAGCATCTTCTTTGTGATTCTCTTTCCTCATCCGACAACACTGCCTTGTTTTATACTCCATCTCACACAGCTGAAGCAAATGAAGGAGTTGGAGCAGGAAAAGGATTCGCTGCTGTCAGGCCTGGAAGTTGTAGAGCGGGCCCGCGAATGGTACCAGGGCCAAATCCACAATGTCACAGAGAGGCAGAGACACCTCGGACAGAGCTCCCACTGCGCGGTAAGTTCATGTGTAACTCCAGACCAGGAAAGAATTGATCCTGATGAGCAGAGTCATTGAATGTGCACATTCATGAAGAAGAAGAACTCCTCACTAATTAATTGTTCCTTTATGGGTAAAATAGACAAGTTTAACTTTTAGTCATAATGTAAATTGGGATTGTGACCCCTAAAATAAGCCATGGTGCTATGCGTCTGACACAAACAATGCTCTTTTTTCTCTATTCTCATAACATTCAAAGACTATTAACATCTTTTATTTTCACATATTGTATTTATTTTCAATTGTATTAGGGCTACAACCATAGATTATTTTAAAAATCAATTAATCTGTTGAGTGTTTTTGTTGTGAGAATTATATCTCACCAAAGAGATATAATTCCCACCGCTTTGTTCTAAAAAAAGACCATTCTCAGAGAGCAAAAACAAGCATAGTAAAAAGTTATGATTGTTCTTAGGATAAAAACCTTTGTTGATTAGATGATTAGTTAATGATTTGATATTTTGTACTATCCATATAAAAACAAAACAATGTTGTATCTTTGAGATGTCTTCCTGGAGGGGAAGCGAAATGTCTTCAAACCTTGGGAAACAAAGTCCAGTGGATTGTTTTTAAACTTTTACGGAATGACCATGACCTGCATGACTGAGAATCTTCACCAGCATATGTATCTGTTAAGGTGTGAAGTCAAATGTGGTCTTGGTGAATGTATATTGTAAATTGAAGAAAATATACATTGCAGCTTGCCAAAGATAGATATGCTGAGTGGCTGTGAAAGGACCCAGGCGTAGAGCCTGCTGCAAATCAATCAAAGCCCAAAGGAGTAAAGCTGCTATTCTGTTTGAACTCGTCACTAAAAGGCTCCTTTGACACTGGAAGCATGTAGGTTATGTCCTTGTTTCACTACCTAATGTTTTTTTATACGAAGCAATAACATGATGAAGTCCTGAGTGCGATAATAGCTCCTTGAATGCTGGTATTCATTAGCTGCTTATGTTGTCTCAGACATTAGGGTACACTTGACCTACCAAGTGACGGGTCAATGCTTGAAAAAGACAACACTGCACTGGGATGTTATATATTCATAATCTGTAATAGAGGCACCTTAAACTCTTAAGTTAAATTGATTCTTCCCTACGGTGGCCCTGAGGTGCAAACTGCAACTACAAATCTAAAAGCGCAACTACATTAAGAAAATCAAAACTACATAAAGCAAAGCGCAACTACATTAAGGAAATCATAACTACATAAAGCAACTTTATGTAGTTTTGTTTTTCTTAATGTAGTTGCGCTTTGCTTTATGTAGATTTTTTTGCTTATATGCGACCTGTATCTGATATTCTCATGGCAGTCTGAACAACACAGCGACCCAGGCCACTTGGCTATGTGGTCCTGAATCTGATACGAATCTGATCTTTTCAAATATGACCTGTGTCTGAACGACCAGGTCGCATTAATTCGACCTGAATGTCAATAATACTCGAAAAAGGTAATTATTCCAGGTCTTGCTACACAGAAGTGGCAAGAAAAACAAACACCATGGCGGACGATGATGCGAAGAGTAGTATTTTTTTTAACCATCTTGAAAAGATTGTGTTTTTATGGTTGGGAAAGATCGCTAGATGTGCCCCGGCACTACCATCCATGTTTACTTCTGTAAACACGAAGCACACTGGCTTGGGACATCATTGTGTCCTCTACTGTGCATGCGGGACACAGGAGATCACATACAAGTCGCATATATTTGGAAATGTGAACGGCAACGCAAAAAAAAAAAAACAACTACTGGATTTTACAAAAAATCGGAACTGAGCATCTAGGCCTGCAGTGTGAACGTAGCCTTAGAAGTGAAACCGATCTTTTCCACTGATCTTATCTAACTCTACAAAGGTCTAAAAAATAAATGTTCTAAACTTTAATTTATATATGAGAGCGGTAATTTCAGAATTTTTTATCGTTTCTTACGTACCGAGTAAAGCCTTTTCAGTTAGATAAGATTGATATATTTAAGAGGTTTTGGATCTCATAACAAGTGACAATGTCGGTTATTACAAACAATCTGTATCGATAAAAATCAGAATCGCTATGTCAGGCTTTTAAAAGCTTTGCAATCCTTCAGTTAACCCTTATATCTGTATCGTGAATTGTTAATCTATTTACAGATTTGCAAAAACAAAGATTTGAACAGAAGACTAGAGTCTCTAGCTTCAGTCAAAAAACTCGAATAATGCATAATTTCACCTAAAATTACATAAAACATGATAATTATATCTATGACGCTTTGTGTACAATGCTGTTTTTAAAAAAATTTCCCCAGAAAATACGACTGTCTTTAGTCAGTGGTTTTTTTTAGTAGAGTTTTTCAATGTTGACTTATGTAGTTGAAGTCAAGAACAGGACATTTTTATCTGTTCAGAAGCACCTTGGTCAGATTTTTATCAACAAAATTTTATTATGGTTACCTAAAAATAAACTTTATTTCCTTTGGTAATACCACCTTTGCTCTGTCTTTGCCTGGGTTGCTCTAACTTTGCAGTCAGTCTGCACTTAAAGCGCTCTGCAGGGGAGGGAAGTATACAGCTCTACAACATGGAAGGTGAAACAGTAATTATGCAGCACAGCACATCGATTAATGATATTTGTTTCCAACAATTGATTTGTTTAGATTTTAGCAATTTTTTGTTGCAGAAGTAAGATGCACATTTATCAGTGTGTAGCATCTTATCACCAAAGCAAATTCCTCATCTGTGTAAAACACAACTTCACAATAATTGAATAATAAAGCTTTTCCACATATTCTACCTTTGTTTTACACTCCCCTGAACTGTTTCCTACCTAAAAATTCTATATTATTCTCATTTGACTGAAGCCCACTGAGATACTTAAAGCCCCGTCAGTATATAGCAAATACTGCATATTTATGTTTGTGATGGTAGGACAGTTGCTTTTTTTCTGGCACAGATTCTACAAAATCCGTTTAGTATGCAGTTTGGGTTAAACAGTTTAAGTTGGACTTCTTTAACATCCAATTCTTTGTTTCTTTCCATATAATTATACAGCAACATGTACTAATAAGCTTTGAAACAACTCATATGAAGTTTTATGCTGTATAATTAGGAGTTACAATAACTAAAACGTTATGCTAGTTTTACTTAAAAGAACTTCCAATGTTTTCAAAGAGGCGCTTTTCAGACAGACGTTTTTCGTCCCTCATTCTGACATTAGTTAGGTTTTTCAATAACTGTCGATTTGCTCTTTTATTCCAGGAATTCATTACGGATGCCAGTCCAAGTCGCATGAATGTTCTGATTCCCAAACTACAAGAGGTCAATCGCTGCCTTAATGACCTGATCTCCTGCACTGGAATGGTAGGGGTTAAAATATATTTTACTTTTGTTTTAGGATAAAATCAAATCTATACATCTTTTTTTGCTCTGCTCTTCTTTTTAATGTGGGTTACAATATTTATTCCTTTGCTAATATTGGAAAAAACTGCAGCGGTCTAGTTTCTTCACTAAAGGTCCAATAATGTCAGATTATACAAGCTGGTTATATATATTGTAATTACACATATTAGAAACTAGTATCTTCTTAAGGGCTATATAATGTGGATTTAGAGATATTTTAACAGTTTTATTCTTGGTTTAGTTTAGATCCAAAACCAACCTCTGCTGTCTGTGAAAAAGGCTTTGGGGAATTTAGGTCGTCTCGGCTCATGATTGTTTTCATGTGGTTTGAAATTGGCTGAATGCTTTTTTTCCCACAGAAATATCACGTGAAATACGGCCTTCTGTATATTCGTCACAAATCCAAGCAAGCCATCTTTATATATAGAAATCTGTTCAGTTACTGAGACTCATTTAAATATTAGCTACTAAACATTCACACTTAAGTATAATTCCCCTTCATACCCTCTGAAATATTTTAAGAAATAGACTAAAAAGGATTGATTAAGATATTTCTTAAAGCAGTGTTTTGAAAGATATCTTGTACAATTGGAGTAGTCTTAGTCTTTATTTATTATATTCAGGTTTATTACTTACAAACTTGAGTAATGCTGAAAATGTTAGAAAATGTGTATAAATAGCAAAACACATCAAATACTTTAGCCAAAGGCACTGGTGACAGTCCACAGAGAGAGAGGTTATTAACAAAATGGCAAACTAACTGCATCAATGCATAACATTTAAGGAGAAGAAAAAGCCCAATGTAACTAAATTAGTTTATTATTGTATCAGGATTTATAAAAATTCAATAACTAAAATATCCTCTTTGTAATGATTCAACTCAGCAGTAGTTGATAAAAGCAGCTGAAAGTATTTTTGTACACATATTTAGTCATCATTTTACTTGTGATGCATTTACCACTCTACAGTGATGAAGCTTTGTGGTTGTTAACCTACATATGTAGTTTAAGATGCAAATCAGACTTTTTTATTTCCATCTAGTTAGATTTCCAATTCATCATTCAGGACACGTAAAGCTGGCTTAGACAGAGAAGAAATAATGTTGGTAATAATGCAATCATGTGTGCTTAGGTAAAGAATAGGTAAGCTGATTGTGAGTAATTTATGTTTTATGCAAAAGTATGTTGAGATTTGTCTTTCCTCTGCTTCCTGTTTGTTTCCTAGCCACCATTTCCCAACGGCGGTGCTCAGACAGCAGTGCTCTCAGCAGGCTCTCAGCCGCCAGCCCCAGCTCCTCCACAAGCCATTCAGAGACTAAAGGACCAGAACAGGCTTCTAACCCAGGTTCAACCCAACCTGCTTCAGCTGTTATCTAGCAAATCTCCCACCTAAATCCTCTCCCCACTGACTGTCTCTTCCCTCTGCTCTTCCAGGAGGTGACGGAGAAGAGTGAGCGGATTGCTCAGCTCGAACAGGAAAAGTCGGCTCTGATAAAGCAGCTTTTTGAGGCGCGAGCTCGCAGTGCGCAGGACACCAGCACCATGGATTCCACCTTTATTTGATTAGCTTCATCGTGTGATTCAGTCAGAACATCTGAAGGAGAGCTGAGAGATTTTAGTTTACCTGATTGAACATTAATGGCAGTAATGCACCTTTTTAGGGACACAAAACATCCCCGACTACAACATGAGACCAATCCACTACAAATCAAAGCAAACGCTACCTGAATGTAAGCACTCCTGACCTGGGGATTAGATGGTTAACGTTTATTACACTACAGAAAAAACAAAACAAAAACAGAGCACTCTTCAAACCAGACATGTCTCATGATCTCAGTCACTCCAGTTATCCAAAGATCAGCATCTGGAAGATCAGCACTCCCTCTCCTTAAAGACCTATTTATGTTTCTGCTGCTCAGCTTCACAAGGAACAAAACATGAACCTAACTGTGAGCAAAGCTCAAATAAAATGGTACAGAAGATTGTTTGGACAGTGGGGATATTTTAGGAATAAAACGCCATATTGCAGTGGATGATATAAGCTGCAACCCATTGCTGTGACCTTAGTTATACCTTTTTAGTTTCATATAAAAAAAAAAATCAATATAGGAGAGAAATTTTTGCTTTTGGTATTTTCTTCCTTTTGATGTCAAATTATATTTCTATATGATTTTTTGCAGTGTATTTTTCCCCCTAAAACATGTATTTTATAACAGTGTGTTCAAAGTTACATGAATCTTCTTCAACACATGGGATGTTATTTTAAAGAAAGCCATGGCAGTACATTTCACCATTTGTAGCATCTCCCCCCAAATGTATTTATAACCCAAAATGTTCCAGAATTACGCCTGGATGGATCAAAGGTGCAGCAGGATTCAGAGTCTCATCTTTTTCTTAAATGATTGAGGTTATGGATGTCAGGATGACATCAATAACTCCTAATTTAACCAGTAACGTAAACGGGGAGCATATAAATGCCAAAAGTAACCACAAGAACATTTCTGTACGCTCTACAGGATTCATTCATTTAAAACCAACACAACCTATAAAACCTAAAAGTGATCAGGAGCCAAAAACAAGTATCAAGTTTCACTTTGAGCCTGAACCAAACAAAATGGACTAACTGCTTCACATTTAACACACCAGACGACAATGAGTGAAGGTTAGACTTCCACATCCAATTATATAAAACATGATTTAAGTTATGAGCTTGACACAACCAGCATTTATTACTAAGAATTTAGGAGCTTTCTGGTTTTCCAAAATAAACAAAATATCATCAACTTTTTGAAACCTTAGTTTTAACCCCTTAGTTTTGCATAAACCAGGCTTTTAGTAATAATGCAAATGTAATACTCCACTCCCTGATCAGTTTGTTTAAAATATAAATGTGTTATAGTTCACATCCAAGGTGTTGTTTACTACAAGCACAAGGGAATTGTCTTGAAATGTTTTCTGATGCCTCATAACCTCCCTGTATTGCCACCTTGTTGAGGGGCAGCTATAAGCTGCTACATATTTGTTTTTGTTTTTTTAGAATAGGATAACATTGGTTGCTTAAGTAATAAACTTTACTTGCAGTTGTGAACGTGTGGAAATAACTCAAGGAAATCTTATAAACCCTTGAGATGTTTAAGGGCAGAAGAGTTGGAGAAATGTGGAAGAAAGCTGTGAGGTGGAGTCACATAGATGGTACATGTGTTGCAAAACAATTCTGATGTAAAAAAATGTTTTTATTTTTAAATACAGCCATTTTAGCAATTACTAAAATTAGTCTGTATAATATTACAGATATTTCTTTTGCTTGGATCTTGTTAAAAAAAAGTGAAATATTTCCCGCAGAGAGATTTTAGTTTGAAATGTGGGAATAAAAGGTTAGCATTGAAAAAAAAAAAAACTCTGTTATCTGTATGAGTTCCCTTTTCTAAGAATCTATCCGGAAATTGATGCTCATAGATGTTATGAAAACATAAAGCCATCCACAAGTTAACGGGAGGATTCAGTTGGTGGCTGGCAGTAAAGTTTTTAATGGTACTGCTGGGATAAGGACGTTTCCCACTTGTTTAGGGGTTTTGCTGCTCACCCTACGATATGCGTGAACTCTCTTTTCCTACCACTGAGGGTACCAAACCCCAGAGGAGGTGATAGAATAAATAAAAGTTTATACTTAAAGCAGCTGTGTCTGTGTGTTTATGTGCAAAACATTTTACTTTTATTTTCTACAGGAATCTCCCCTTTCAAAACAAAATAAAGGTATGCAAGAAAATCACAAAGGACTTATTTAGTGTTTTTTTCTGGATGAATATTAAAGGAATAAGATTAACTATCCCAAAATATGTTTCTATACTGTTCTAGTTGTTTTTTTAGGAGGTGATAAACTGCACAAAAGGTTGCATAACTTCTGTTGCTTCTGACAGATTTAGGTAAAAAGTATTTTTTCCCATGCATTTGTTTTATCTTTCCGATAATTAAACTTTAATTAGCATTTCTCTGTAGCTTCGTAAAAGGAATTTACTTTATCTTTAAAAAGTTGAAATCTCACATCAACTATACAGATTTGTCAAACAATTTTGCCAAAACAATGTTTTATATCTTAAATAGGATATCAGAAAAACCCACTTTAGACAGATGTTGCTGCAGTAACTGGAGTGTGTTTTCACACTTCTGCAGAATTTACCAAACCAGTGGAAATTTTCTGCCCTGTGGGAGGACGAGGGGATCATGTGTTTAACGTAACACCATCGCAAACAAGTTGAGGCAAAGGGCACACAGAGGTAAACAAATCACAGTCAGACTCGAGCAATAAAACAGTTCAAACAACCTTAATATTTAAACACTGCAAATACAGAACAAGTGGCAGGAGAGAAAAATAGATACTGACAGAAGAAAGAGTTAAAAGTTAATTAACTTTACGGAGTCGCTGCTTCACACAGCTGGCTCAGATTTAGGGCAATTAGGAGTAAAAAGGTTAGAGGTCACACCAGCTGATGGGAAGTTACAGCCAAGCAATACGTTATAGTGAAGTGTCAACCTGATGAATTTCTAGCTCAGGCTTTTTTAACGGACCACCCTGTGGTCGCCCCCAATCTTTCTCTCTACTTTAACCAGCTTTGCTGTGAGAACTAAAAACAAGTGCTTCATGGCAGTATAATGTTGCCACCACCATGCTTCGCTGTGGGTGTGGTGTGTTTAGGAAGTTGTGCAGTTTTAGTTATTGTGTATGTAGCTGAGAAAGGTAAGTAAGGTAATAGAGTTTAATAACTCATGTATGTTGGCTTCTCTTATTCATAATCCCGTTGCCATTTAGATCGCATAGAGAGCCACATTTTGGTAGGTCAAGCTTCAAAGCTTGACTCATAACTTAAATCCTAACCTCTTTAATCCTTATTTATACTAATAAACAGTCTGTGTTGCTTGGCTTTCATGACTTTTGTAGCTGCCTCTGTCATGATCTTTGCGCTGATGACTGGCTTAATTATTAATTTCATTCACCTGTCCAATTCCGCCCCAGTTTCTCTCTACCACTCATCATATCCACCTGTTCCAGCTTCTATTTAAACTGCTTATTCTTGAGCCTTTGGTGTGAGAATTATTCTAGCTTTATTTGCTGTATTCTGATTGCCTGTCTTCAGACCTTCAAGCCTGCCTGTCATGGTTCTGATCTTTGCCTGACCTGTCTTCGGATTCTTGCTGGATTCTACTGGTGGACTGTACCAGGATCTGTCCTACTGACTTCACCCTCTGGATCATCCTGCCTTCCTCTGTCATCTGCTTGGATCTGATCTCCTGTCAGTTCTGTGTCCTTCAAGGCTTTGGCATCTGGAACTCTCTGTGCAGCAACCACTGCTTCTTGTCAGCTGACTGGCTGGTATCAACCTTGTTCTCTGAGCACAGACTGTACTTTAACCCAGGTCCTTCATCAGGTTTCGTGGTCACTAATCTGTGTTTCCTCTCTCCACAGTTTCCGACGCCCTAGCCAATGCTACTTAATGTTTTAATTAATCTATTTATCTTACTGTCTGTCTTGCCTGAATACTGGGTCCCTCTGTTCTGAGTCTGGTTTCAATTGCTGAGTCTAAATGACAGATTATATGATTTCTCAACCCATGGTTGTAAAGATTTTAATTAGTAAAATTAATAAGAAAAAAAAACCCTATTAGTTCCTTTCACATCATACTTTCTGTTGGTCTAACCTTTAAGATCCTGAATCAATTTGACAGTATGATCTGGTTGAATTGTATTGCTGTATAAATAAACGGAATTTAATTGATTGAAGATCCTGACAGAATACGCTGAGGTTGGAGATCATAATGTACCAAAAAAAAAAAAAGAAACTGAAAAAAAACCCATATCAAATGTGTGGATACTTTTGCAAGATGCTGTAACATATTACACCATCTTACGGTAACTTTAATCAGATATGATTTCCAGGCTTGTTGCATCAGTTGTTTACCGCCGATTTTCCGTCGACCTCCATCAGTTTGTTGCATCAGTGTCAATCGGTGTGAAAATGGACCATGTGTCTTTAGAATGCTAACGGCGGCCTTTTTAACTTTAGCTGTAAGAAATTTCCCCCTAAACCTATTCTGAATAATTTTATATGATTTATTTTATGTTTCTTCTAAATTGTTGAATGTGGAGGGGCCAAACAAAGACAATCATGGCATCCTTAGGGAAGGTCCTCAGCTTACACACCCCCATCCCCACACCCTGATTGGATGATCTTAAACGTCCCTGAAGTGTTTGCTCACACTCCAAAAGATGTAATCTGTTCATTTTGACGTGAGGGCTCAGTGTTTGCTCATGCAGGAGCAAAAAGGACAGAGTGAAGAGTGGATGGATATGTCACCTCTGGATTAACAAGTGAGTCCTCTCAGCTTTAACCCGTAACTCATGACCTTTAATCTTGATCAGACGTCAGTGAGTTTTGGATTATATCTGTGTCCTGTGTGATAGTTTAGCTTTGCCATGAAAAGGTTACCTGTCTAGTATTTTTAGGTTCCTTATTTATATGTCGCCCATAGAAACAGAGATAGTGTTTTGAGGCACGTATTTGCTTGTTTGCAACAGTTTTCTGTTTCTGCTGGCCGCCTGAGCTGTAATCAAACTGATCTCTATGAAAAAGATTAGTTGACACTGGGGTCACATTGAAAGAGGTACGAGGCTTTGTTTTAAAATTAGAGGCTATAGCTAAAAATGTTAGTTATTTGTAACATATATTGTTTAATCTCCAAATTTGTATTTAAATGTTAGAACAAATATTTTATATTCTAAAAAACATTGCATAAGTATATTTTTAAGCTAAATAAAGTATTATTTTAACCATTGATGTTTAAGGGAAGTGTTAGTTTCAAAAATATAAATAGGTTTCACAAGTCATTCTAACACCTACAAGTCCTAAAATATACTTCCAGCACATAAAGAGGAAAGGTGCAAGCTTTTAGCTCAGTGCGTTTTCATTTAAACCTTCTATTTTCTAGTGTTTATTTTTAATCTTGTCACACTCTTTCACAGGACTAGAACAAAAATACTTTAATAAGTGTTTAGGATGAAGGCAAGAAAAAAAAAACAGATTTGATTTAATTAGCAACCATCTACAAAATATTGTTTGATATTCTATAAACCATTAAGGCAGAAGGAGAAAATATATTTCTTACTTATTAAAAGAGACAACAAGGCTATAATGGATCAATTTCATTACAACATTTTATGTGCTCTGCGTGACTAGCATATAAAAGTCACATGGAAAAAAAACTCATATCAGATATATTGTAAAAGTAAGGGCACACAGTTTCAAAGATAATAACTCTAAATTAATTCTGCATGACAACCTTTTTTTTTACATTATTACTAAAGCAGCAAACAGACCTGAATGGTATTAAAACTAAAAGAAAGATTCCATTTATAAAAAGGATTAAAATAAATTTGTATTAAAGGCTGAAAAAATACATTAATGTACAATTTGCTTTTCATTAACTGTAACAGGTACAGTACACCGATAGTTTCTATTTGTTTTTGGATTTTGCAAAAGGTTCTCTATGTTTCCACCACATTTACTTACCGTACCAGTAGGCTTTATGAGGACTCTGGGAATAGCTTCCAATTCCAAAGAACTGCAAATGCAAGCAAGCCCAACAGATGACAGCAATATTTGCATACAAGCAAATTAAAGCTTTGAGCCCCCATGTTGGCACAGAGGAACACATTCAAAACAAACTGCTCCAATTTTGTTTTGTGGTCTATTAATAACCTGTTCCTCCTGTTGCAATAAAAATGACCATTA